ACCAGAAGGCAAATGCTCTGTGGGCTTCAGGGCTGGCTGACGCTAAGCTCTCTGGAAACCACAGAGTACCCACCTCTAACTGTAAGCTATCCCCGGCGGTCACATGTGCTATAGAATATTCTAGACAACTGAGAATGACGCCAACTCAATGACAATTATAATCTCATTAACATTGTGGTTTTAACCTCTTCCCTCCACTTGGGCATCAGGACAGTTCCTCAAGGGTCCATATAGGGACATAACTCTCCTCCCCAACCGAAAGGAAGAGCCTCGTCCCTGACTGGTGTGAACTGCCTCATCAGTTTGAAGCACTACTGCCTTACTGTAAACACTGCACATAGGCTCTGCTACCTCTGGCTTCTTCCAGGCTGTGAGCCCTTTTCGTTGGCTGGCTCCCATCCTGAGGAGTCTATCCTGGCCAACAAATCTAGGCTTTCCCTTCTGACTTGCATGTGTCCTATTCCATTCTTTGTGGCACCAAGAACCTAGGACAGTCACAACCCCTACAACAGCAGAGACAGCAGGGAAAAGAGCCCAGAGGATGACCTGGCATTAGTGCACAGAAGAACTGTGATAGGCAACTGCGTTAGATACAAATAATATAGGAAGGCAGCTAAAGCTGGGCCTCAAAGGAGCCAGTGCAGAAGACCCGATATCTTACAACCTTGGAGGAGACAGACCTCCCTCTGTTGGCCAGATCTCAGGACAAAAAACAAAACAGAGGCAGCCTTACCCTAAAGATAATAATCAGGAATTGATATTCTAAAGAGGTGTAGATCACCTTGAGGAAACCAGAAGCCACGAATCCAACCCCTTACAGGCAAAGGCCGTTTCCTCTTGCTACATGACTCACTTCCCCATTGGATCCCGATTTAATCAATTTTGTCTGAGCAATTATACTCCTAAATTTATTGGTTGACCACAGTTCTATCCCATGTCATGCTTGCCTACCTTGTGAGTTCCCATTTTCCCCCAACTGGTACCACTTCACCTCATGGTTTTGCTCCATAAAAGTCCCTAGAAAAGACAGTCTTTGGCAGTCCATTCTGGACCTCTCCTGTGTCTGTCTCCTTCTCTCTTTCCTCTTTCTGTGTCTCTGTCTCTGTCTCTGTCTGTCTCTCTCTCTCTCTCTCCCTCTTGAAACAGAAGCTTTCTTTCTGCTCTTAACCTCCATTGCTCCTAAAATCCATTCTTTGATTTTAGAGAACATGAATTGGACATCCAGTAGGTTGGGAGCTTCTTTCTCCTGTATCAGAATCACAAAACATTTGCTGCTATTGGATTTTGAGGTGCAAGCATAAGTAAAAAGAATTTATAAGGAAGAAATCAGTCATAAAGGACCTTCTTTATCACGCTAAGTAACTTGGAATTTGCCTGGAATGAATCACTAGAAAGTCTCAAGCAGAAGAGTGACTTGAGTAGAGTGTGTTTTAGAAAACACACACTGCTTGCAATCAGTGTAAAAATGAGATGGTCCCTGGGACCAATAAAGCCACACTGGAGGCCGGGAGACCAGGTAACAGGCATCCTAATAGTGTAGGTAAGAAGTGGTGACGGTTAAAGAAAGACTTTTAGTGACATGGGAAAACATTTCAGCATGTCTGTAGAAGAAACCAGTAACGAAGGAGAAAAATGTGAGCAACAGATAATTAGTTGGAGCGATGAGCTACTAGGGCTGAAGTAAAATACTTAAGATTGACCCAACTCTTCCTCTGAAACCTGCAGGAGAGAGTAAACAGAGAAGATGGAATCTGCTTGTTAACTCTAATGGCACATTAGAGTTCATAGTGGGTGGGTAGAGATACCTTAGATTTCAGGAGAGCGGTTTTTAAAATTTACTTATTTATTGCAGTGCGGGGGATGAGGGAAGCAGATTTAAATAAATTTGGAGTAAAGAAATCCCATGGCTCTTGTAAACTGTGAGGCAGGCAAAAATAAAAGTCAGGCTCGTTGCGGTGTTACATACAAATAATCCCAATACGTTGAGAGGGAAGGGCAGAAGGATTGCAAGTTCAAACCCAGCATGGATAATTAGCGACTTGGAGAGATCATTAGAGCGTAAATAGTTTAAAAAAAAATAGCTGGGGATACAGTTTGGTATGAAGACTGTGGGTTTAAACCTCAGCACCAAGAGGGAGAAAAAAAGCCAGCCTTTATAACTGCAAACTTTTATGAGAAGAAAAGAGTATATTTTAACAAAGACATCTCTAGAATGTTGTATTTTAATTCATATTTTTTTTTAGACAGGGTCTCACTATGTAGTTCAGGTTGGTCTTGAACTCACTATGGATCCAGCCTGGCCTGGAACTCTTGGAGATCCTCATGCCTCAGAGTGCTGGGATTACAGATGCATACCTCTATGTCTGGCACGAACTCAGAATTTTAGAGGACTTGTGTATTTGACTTTTGTTGAAAAGAGACTTTATAAACAAATTCTCACAAGGCAAATGGGTTAAGAGTCACTCAAAATGAACTGAGGAAATAATATGGCTAATGCCAAGATGTTCTTTGAAAAAAATATTAAAGATGCGGAATTACTGATTGGGAGAGAAGACATATTAACAAATGAAAGCAGCAGGAAAAAAATACACAATTCCTCTTTTAAAAAAGTTCTCTTTGAAATTTTTCTTTAAGGACCATAATCAAAAGATGGGAAAGAATTCAACTATTTAGTGGGTGCCCTGATAACTGGACCATAATCAGAAAAGAGGCATGGCATATGAAGAATAGCTAATATAAAGAATAGTTCTAGAACTATTAATATAGGGGAATGGAACTCTGAACCTACTATGTCTGGTGAGTTTGTGTTCTCTAAAATAGAAGAATGAATTTTAGGAACAACGAAGGTTAAGAATATATTTTTTAGAGAAAGAAAGCTTCTGTCTGAGACAGAGAGACAGAGAGAGGAGGGGAGAGACAGACAGACAGAAGGAGTCCCCAGGGGGTTACCAGGGAATCTGTCTTTTGTAGGGATTTTTCTTTTTTGTCTTTTTTGGGACAGGGTCTCGATATGCCATTCAGGCTGGCCTTGAGCTCACTTTGTAGCCAAGGCTGGTCTTGAACTCACAATGATCTCCTGCCTCAGCTTCCTGAGTTCTGGGATTACAGGTGTGAGCCACCACACCTGGCTCTTGTAGGGATTTTTATAGAGTAAAACCATGAGGTGAGGCAGGTCTAAAATTGGGGAAAACTAGAAACTCTCCAGGTAGATGAGCATAAGGTGGGACAGTGCTTTTTTACCATAAACTCACAACCCCACACTTGTAAGGCAGGCACTTATGCCGCTGAGCTAAATCCCCAGCCCAACCAATAGGTTTAATTGTTTAGGTAAAATTGACCAAATCAAGGACAAATGGGAAAGCAAGTCACATAGCAAGTGAGGATTCTTTATGGATCAGTGATGCTTCCTGTAGGGGGTTGCGATGGTGACTCTTGGCTTCTCAAGGTGATCCAGATTTAATCCCTAAGGATTATACTTAAGGATGTGGTTGCATTTGTTTTGCCTTCTGTCCCCAAATCTTGCCCACAGCAAGAGGTGTGTGTCCCCTCCAAGGTCATCAGACATTTGGTCCTCTGTGCTGGTTTTTTCAAGGGCCTAGCCCTGTCTGACTGCCTATAATATTTCTAACTAACTCAGCTGCCTGTAGCACTATGTTTTCATATCTGAAATGTCCTTTAGAAGTGGGGTTAGATATTTCTGTTATAGATAATACTAGAGACGAAGAACAAAAGGAGAAAGGAAGAGGCTGGGGATTTAGCTTAGAGGCATAAGCACCTGCCTTGCAAGCAGGGGGTCGTGAGTTTGATCCCTGGTACCGATAAAAAGGAAAAAGACCAAAAAAAAAAAAAAAAAAAAAAGAGAGAGAGAAAGGAAAACAAAGTCAATTTATAAAATTTAAAGGAAACTGGATTTTAGGTCCATGTAATTACTTATTATGGTTTTCCACATATTGCCCTCCCCCCAGCATTTAATTGGAAAAAATTTCAAGCATATATTAAAGTTGTAAGTATCTTACAGTAAATGGCCATTTATAGAGAACTATCATTTAGATCCTACAATTATGTTATACTTTAATCACATACTTATCCTATCTCAATTTATTTTATTGTTTGTGTACATTTCAAAGTAAATTCTATACACTTTTTTTTTGCCACTGAGAAAGTGATTCGCCTTTTTCCTAAGGGGTAATAGCTGACTGTTGGCAATATTCTAGAGAAAATTTCTGCTTTGAGTAGCTGGAGCAGACAAGGAATGTGCTTCAAACTTCTTTGTCTGCCTTACTAAGAAATATATTTCATATTCTACCCAGTTTACACCTTTTACATACGTGAAGCATGCTACAGTTTTCTATTTCATTTAAAACATGTTGGTTATGCTCCACCAAGTTGTGACCCACCTATGGATTGCCAGAATCCTGAAGCTAATACCAAGATTTTCCTTATCTTTCCTACGATCAGGAATCCGTTTTGAGCTTTAGTATTTGCTCAGCATGCCTGGTATTATGCTATGTATAGTTTAGAGAAAAGTCTTAAATGCTTAGTTAAGAATTCTGCATAGATCCAGGGCAGCACTGTTTAATGTTATTAATTGCTTGCTATTTTCAGAAACACGAAGAGGCATTCTTGGATAGGTGGGCTCACCAAGTCAGTGCTCACCTAATTTTCATTTGTACACAGTTATTTAGTGCCTGCCGTGGTTCTAAAAAAGTTGAGACATGGACGTGATAGCACTTGGAAAACTAACATTTTAATAATATTTTGAGATGTCAGAAAAAGGGATGCTGCGATCACGCTTCAGGGAGGGTGTCAGGTCCTACAGACTTTAACCTCCTCAACCCCCAGTTTTGGCACCGAACTCAACACGAAAGCCTGGAATTCAGGTTTCACGTTTGTCAGGGCTCTGCTCCACCTGCGCATGCTCTACAGCAACTCCGGCTCCCGGGGACGCCTGGCGAACCCCGGAGGGCGGAGCGCGGGTCACGTGGGGCTTCTGACGTCATCTCTGGGCGCCAAGCGTGACTGGACTTGGGGTGCCGGTCGTGTCCGCCGGTACCGGAGGGCGGAAGTACTGCAGAGCCGAGCTCCGACCTCCGTGCCGGTGCTTTCTGCGGCTGCGCGCGCTCTCTGGACTCTGGCTGCTGAGTCTCTGCGGGGCAGTGCGTGTCCGGCGGCAGAGCCCGAACCCCGGGTCTTCACCTGTGCGGGAAGCCGGGGGGAGGAGCCGGCGCTCGGGCAGGGTAAGTGAGTGTGTCCCGGCGGGGAGGAAATGCTGGAGTAGGAGGGCTGGGGGCTCGGCGGGGTGGTGAGGAGGGCCAGTGGCCGGTGTGAGGAGTGCACCCTGGGCGCCACGGCGGGGAAGTGATTCCTCCGCTCTGAGGGCTTCGTCCGGACACCGCCCGGCCGGGGCTGCGGGGCCTGGCTGTGCGGGCTCTGGCGGAGTGCGTGTGTCTTTCTAAGGCGGGGGGACTGTGGTGGGGAGGCTCAAGCTCAGGAGCTAGTTCAGGAGCTGCATTTTCTGTGGTATAATTACTTAAACCATAACTGTTTCACAGGGCAGTTCGATTCTTTCCAAACTCAGCTGTTTCCTCTAATTTATCCTTTCAGTGACATTCCGTAGGTCTCATTTTAATCGCCACATTTAATGCTGACGAGCCATTTTCTGTTGGTAAAGCACTTCCACATTATTATACTCGATTGCTTTCAAATAATCATACCTAAACTTGAGGAACCTAGGAAACTGGATTGGTTCTAGATTTTTCTGAGATGTGAGGAAGTATAGTATGTCTTCAGTAATAAGACTCTACAGACATGCGAAACTGAAGTTACAGTAGTACCTTCTAGAATTCATCTGATAGGTCTTGAGATTGTTAATATTTAGATCTCATCTGAACTGTTTGTGATATCTTTTGTGAGCGTCATTGGTTGAGTTTTGAATTTGAAAATAAGGATGTTGAGCTAAGGTTAATAGTTGAGAAACTTTAGAATTTTACAATACATTTAAACTGTTCTTTGGTGTCTAGTGTCCTGTTAGTCAATGTAGGGAGAAATGAGCCGCCTAGGACCATGTGGATATGGCTTGTTAGAACAGTGTACACACATCAAGAGTGTGTTCGATTTGTTAATTTCACAAATACTGCATACCTATTGCAAGCCAGGCACTAGAGTAAATAGTTAAAAACTAAAAGTCTCTGCCATTGTGAACTTCACACTGGGATGGACAAGAGAAGGTGCGGATACAAAAATCAAAGTATGTTTCATACGGTGAAAAGTACTAGAGAAAAGATAAAGCAACAAAAGGGAATGGGGGTGTCAAAGGTATGGGTAGAAGATCATAGGGATCTCCACGAAAAGGATAGGAGTGAAGACATGAAAGTGATAAAGATGCCGTGTAGAAAGAGCTATGACAACTGCCAGAAAGGCCAGGAGCCTGGAGCATACCAGCTAGTTTGGCTGCAAAACAATAACAAGCATTAGAGAAACGGTGGCTACTCAGGTAAAATGGAGTAAGATTATGTAAAGCCTTGTGGGACTTTGTAAGAACTTTAGTTTTTACTTTCAGTGAGCTGGGTCTTGAGTAAAGAGTGAATTGATCTAACTGATGTTTAAAAAGAATCTGTCTGCTTTGTTGACCTAACAGCACAGGCAGGATATAGTGAGAGTTGGTGGCAGGCCATTGCCTTTATCTGGGCTGAAGGTCAGGTGACTTGGATCAGGGTGATACTATTGGAGGTGTTTGGAAAGACTGTTCTAGATGTTTCTGAGGGAGAGCAGCCAAGTGTAGGAGAACAGTCCAGCATGATTCCAAGGCTTGTGGACTAAACAGCGAAAGAAAAGAATGGTCACCTTCCGAAACAGGGATGACTATAGAGTAGTAGGGTGGCGGAGGGAGGGAGATCTGAAATCATTTTCAGTTTTGTACATGAAATTTCCCAGTGGAAATGTCAGTATTCAGTAATATGCGTACATGAAACAGGTTCAGAAGGGAAGTCTGGGCAGAAGATAAAAATGGGAGTTGTAGGTTTAATAGTTAAAGCTAGAAGAAAGATCTACAAAGGAGTGGTTTAAGAACTCTTAACATTTAGAAGAGATATGCAGGATCCTCCCCATACTTCAGGGTGGAGTGGTTCTGTAAAACTGTTGTGAATCTCTGTTCCACATTAACGGATAAAAGGAAATAGGAAGCAAGTACATTAGCAGAGAGAAAGAAGAGGAGAGAGAAGAAAGAAGATGAGGAAAGAGATTTGGAAATTTGAGACAGTTGCAGCATGGTGATACAGGAGGTGTAGACAAGCTAGGGAAATGTAGGGGTACGAGGCAGCACTTGGCACTCACGCTTGAGTTTAGTGTTCTTGAATTTAAGGGAGACCAACTGGCAGAGATTATTTTTAGTTATTTAAGTGTTTGACTTCTTAAGTAATTTCTAGAAGTTGGGTGCTTTGTGAACAAAAATAGCTCTAGGTATTAGGTTAGCTTTTCTTGATAGGTAAAGTATAAGGCACTATTAATTGTGCATTTTTATCCTGTGCTACTTGCTGAATGGTTATCAAATGTTGATTGGTTACCTTCTGCGATACAAGCCCTGAACTACATGCAGAAATAGAACTGTCTAGTAGTTCAAATTAGCTGAATGGTGATAATGATGTAATATATATAGGGAAAAATGTTTCTAAATAATGGGATCTGCTAATTTTAAAGTGTGATTTTACTGATTTGGAGAGGAGTGATGTAGAAGAGCTCAATAAGAACCGAAATTTATTGATTAATTGAGACAGGGTCTTGCTATATTATTGAGGCTGGCCTTGAACACTCTGTGTAGCCCAGACTGCCCTTAAACTCAGCGATCCTCCTGCCTTAGCCCCAAGTTATGGGATTACACGTGCATGGCACCATTCCCTTTTAAGAACCTGGATTTACATCTGTGTTTCCCCTCCACCTTTAACAAAAAATTGCACAGCCTTCTATGTACTTACTATGTTAATTGAGGATAAGACAATAAATATGACTAATTTTTGTCTTTACTGTTGTCTTAGATACTTTTCATTGCTGAGACATAATACCTGATAGTCACAACTGTAAATAGCAAAGATTTATTTTGTCTTACAGTTTGGAGCACAGGGCATGGTATCGCGAAGCAGAGATCAAGCAAAGAGGGAGGCTTGAAACCCTCTAGGTCTCAACCCAGTCACCCACTTTCAGCTAACCAGGGTGTACCTCCCAACAAGTTGTCTAGCTATCAACTCATAAGGGACTAATCTCATGAACATCACGCCCATGAACCAGTTATCTTCCCACAGGCCCACCTATAAGTGCATGAGGCTTTTAGGGGGCATCTAGATGTAAACGGTAACAGTCTTCAAGGAACTCCCTATTCAGTGTGATTAGAGGCAAGAGAGGTAAGATAACTTAAGTTGCTTAGTATTACATACGATTAAAGAAGTAATTAAGAAATCTATAAGTGGCTTTAAATTAAAATCCGAGAACGTAGCTTGGATGGAACACCTATCTAGCTTTTGCTACACTCTGCATTTAATTCCTAGCACTACCAAAAAACAAAATTAAAATAAAAATATAACACAAAAAGAGAAATTATTACTGGGCTTAGTTGCACATAACTGTAATCCCAGCTACTTGAGAGACTGGGGCAGAAGAATTGGGTTCAGGGCCAGCCTAGGAAGCACATTGGGATTCTGCCTGAAAAAGGCAAACTGAACTAAAGCAATAACAACAAAAATAATTTGACTGAAGGCTGTTTGGGGGAAAGCTTTTCAAGGAGAAGTTACTGAACTGAAAGGATTGAGTTGTTCAACAGAGGCCAAAAGAGTGTTCTAGCAGGTAGGCCGTGAAAACATGAAGAAACCTTGTACATTTTAAGTACATACACCATTTGAGTAGGAAATCATGTACATATTAAGTACATAAGACCATTTATTGAGTGGTTACTGTGTGCTAAATACTTGCGCCAGTGGATATCAGTTATCTTCATTTTATAGATCTGAAGATCAGATGGGGGTGGGTTATTGTCCTAGGACATAGAGCTCCTAAGAGAAAGTCAGGTTTTAAATTATGCCAATGTGATTTCAAGCTCCTTAAGTACTTTGCTTAATTGTCTACTATCAGCATGTAAATAAGTGTTTTGTGTTGTTGTTCTTTATCCTTCCATTTCTTTTCACCAATTACTGTTTATTTTTTCTTAAAAACAGTCTGTCTCTTGATACCATTCTAAATCAAGCAATCATTTCTTTTCTTGGTAGTTGATGAAATTGTTTCCTGGCTGGGCTCTCTTTAAGGTATGTGTTTGATACAGTAATGGACATTAGTCAGATCTATAACTAACATGAGATCAAATCAAGAAGTATATCACTTAGAACTCTGAAATCCTCCACGGTCTTCTGTATGGTATGCTTTATGATCTAGTTTTATTTCACATTTACAAATTTTTTTAGTGCCAAGGAATAATGATTTACATTTCTTGGTGTGTATCCATTACTGTAGTAAACAAACTTACAGTTTTTTCCCCCAAAAACAAATTTGTGATGCAGATATTACTCATTCCATCTCAAATGTAAAAGAGAAGAAATTGAGGTTTAGTGAAGGGACTTGTTTAGTATATTTAAACATGTCAGTGTTAGCTCTTTCATTATCTCCTAATACTTCCTACCCAAAATTTCCTGAAAAGTTGACACAGATGTTGTTCCTATATTTAATGGTGTTGTTTTTCCCTGTTTAGAATACAGATAAATGGTCCTTGAGCTAATGTGGGTACTGCTTAGTATTTTTTGACGTTTTGTGACTTTATAATGGTGGGAAAGCAATATACATTAATTACATTGCTCAGTTGAAACCATTTGGGGAATTTTGAATGTTGGTTTTCCTGGGTAGCATGTGTGGTATTACAACTTTTGCATTGCCCAGTAGTAGTAACAGCTACGATTCTGTGAGCTATGGGATCACAAGGCAAACAGCCTGTACCCCACAGTGTAAGCTATGATGTTCGGTAGGTTAGACATGTTAAATACATTTCTGCTCATGATATATCAAGCTATGATGTGTTTATGATGTGTAACCCCACCATAAGTAGAAGAGTATCTGAATTGGTCTTTTCTGTCTGTGGTCTACTTGTTTTTTAAATTCCAAATGTTTCTTTTTTTACAATTTTATTTTTTTGGTCTTTTTGAGACTGGGTCATATCGTGCAGCTCAGGATGGGCTTGAACTCACTTTGAGCCCAGACTGGCCTG